CCCCGGGGCAAATAGAGACCCCCCCGGGGCAAATAAGAGACCCCCCGGGGGAGAAACCCACTCCAAGGGGGGAGAAACCCACTTCTAGTGGGAGAAAATGCACTTCTAGGGGGGGGAAATCCACTCCAAAGGGGTAAAAAGTGACTATTGGGGGAGAAAAAAGACCCCCCCAGGGAAGAAATTACCCCCCCGGGGCAAATAGAGACCCCCCCGGGGGAGAAAAGTTCCTGAAACCACCTGGGGGTCCTGGAAACTGCCCTGGGGGTCCTGGAAACTGCCCTGGGGAGCCCCGAAACTGCCCTGGGAGGGTCTGGGGGTCCCCGAAACTGCCATGGAGGTCCTGGAAACTGCCCTGGGGGGCCCTGAAACCACCCGGGGGTCCCCAAAACTGCCCTGGGGGGTTCTGAAACAGCCCTGGGGAGCCCCGAAACCACCCGGGGGAGCCCTAAAACCGCCCTGGGGGGCCCTGAAACTGCCCTGGGGATCCCTGAAACCCCCCTGGGGGTCCTTGAAACCGCCCTGGGGGTTCCTGAAACTGCCCTGGGGAGCCCCGAAACCACCCGGGGGCTCCTGAAACTGCCCTGGGGGGGCCCTGAAACCACCCTGGGGAGCCCCAAAACCACCCTGGGGAGCCCCAAAACCACCCGGGGGAGCCCCGAAACTGCCCTGGGGATCCCTGAAACCCCCCTGGGGATCCCTGAAACCCCCCTGGGGGTCCTTGAAACCGCCCTGGGGGTTCCTGAAACTGCCCTGGGGAGCCCCGAAACCACCCGGGGGCTCCTGAAACTGCCCTGGGGGGGCCCTGAAACCACCCTGGGGAGCCCCAAAACCACCCTGGGGAGCCCTGAAACTGCCCTGGGGAGCCCTGAAACCGCCCTGGGGGTTCCTGAAACCGCCCTGGGGACCCCTAAAACCGCCCTGGGGGGCCCTGAAACTGCACTGGGGAGCCCTAAAACCGCCCTGGGGGGCCCTGAAACTGCACTGGGGGTCCTTGAAACCGCCCTGGGGAGCCCTGAAACTGCCCTGGGAGGGTCTGGGGGTCCCCGAAACTGCCATGGAGGTCCTGGAAACTGCCCTGGGGGGCCCTGAAACCACCCGGGGGTCCCCAAAACTGCCCTGGGGGGTTCTGAAACCACCCTGGGGAGCCCCGAAAC